AGCCCGTCGAAACAGGGCTCGGACTCGCGCGTAGACTCAGGCTCACCCTGTGAGGTTGGCGAAGACTGAGCCAAGATCATCGTAGGGGCCAGGTTGGCGGCCATCATGCTTTGTGTTGCAGGCGCTCCAAGCCTTCCATACGTTGCGATCTGCTGTTGGGGCCAGCCGCCAGCAGTCCACGTGGGCGGGAGGGACATTCTCTGTGGCAGCGTTCCGGCTTGCAGACATATGACATTTGAGCCAACACTTGAGCCGTAGCCATTTAATTCACAGTTACAGTTATGTCTACTTGCGCGCAATGCTGCCTGCACACATATGTTACATAGGTACATCAGAGATTGCACGCAAAAGAGAGGGAGGGACGGGACCCTGTATCTGGTCGAGGCACCTGGTCCATCGTCGACCCAACTCCAGTGTCTCCGAGCTCCTCCGCCTCTCCGAGCAAGGCGTGGTCTACGAAGCTCTTCGTAATCAGGCGGAGGGCCATGGATGCGATGGTTGGGGCGAAGTAGGCGGCCTGAGACGCTGGGAACTTCATCGTCACGATTTGCATGTAGGTGCCTTTGCTCCGATCGACCAAGGGATAGTAGCCAAACAAGCCTGCATCCATATGCACATTTGCGGCTCTGCACTGATCAGTGAAGCTGCTCGCTTTCGGTGGAAAGCACTCGAAGTAGTTGCACATGGAATAATGCCCAAGTAGCTGAACCAGGACGGTGCTTGAATCTGCGATTTGCACTCCATTTAGGTAGTCCTTCTCCATCTCCTTACTCACCTCTTCAGGGATCAGCTCGTTGCCGACGTAGGCGCGCAGAATTCGGTCGTAGTCGTCACCCGTGGTCATCAAGTTTCCAGCCAATCCAGGGTTAGGTCCTCCGAGCCACGTGGTGGCCTTCAGCTGCAAGGGCCCTATGAGGTATCGATGAAGCAACTCCTGGACGGAGATGCCGGCGGCATAAGCGGCCATTGCCCCAGCCACTTGCAAGTGGAAGGAGTTGTAGGCCCAAGTTGTACCCGGCTCAAACCGGAAAGGAGCTAGGTCGTAGATTTCTCTCGCACAGGATTCGCCTGTGTAGACAGAGGCATTGCCGCCCAAGCAAGGAACATTGCCGCCCGTGTCGGGTGAGTAGAAGCCACTCGTGAAAGACATCAGATTGCGCAGAGTCACACGACTCTTCGGAACAGCGGGATCAGATGTCCACCAGGGAAAAACCTCGTGCGCGAAGGTGTCGAAGGTCAAATGCCCGTCGGCCACGCACCCCGCAACGGCAATGGCAGCAGGGAACTTGCTAGAGGAGGCCATGGCCAGAGGTGTTGTCATTGAGGTTGCACCCTTCTCAAAAGTGAAGTGTCGACCATCAGCCCGGCCGGCTGAGAAAGCCATGTCTTGAATCGGGAAGTAAGCGCTCAAGATTGCCCTGACAGGCTCCCATCCGTCTCCTTCAGCAGCTCGAAGAAGTGTAACTTGAAACAAGGCAATGCAACACCATCCACCTTTCATGCTCGAAAAGGCTCTTCAGAACGCGTCTCTGGAGCCTGGGCTGCCTAGCTACTAAGCGCAAGCGGACCGCTACCAGCTTGAGCAGGGCAGCGGGAGATGTTAGGTGCCATAAAGAAGCTCCGCACAGTCTTGGGGCTTGTCTCCGTGTGCCTGCCTCCCCAAACCACAAGTCCATCCAGCTTCAGCCGCCGGCAGGTGCTGGCACAAGATTGCCTTAACGCTGACTGCGGCTGCAGATGCCGGAGCCACACTCAATGGTCCTGGACCCACAAGAACTCCAGTTTAGGGCTCCCTGCAGCTCGCCACCCAGCTTTGCGATGTCCTGGAACTCGCGTCCGAAGCCTACCCTAAACCCTAAACCCTAAACCCTAAACCCTAAACCCTAAACCCTGAACCCCAAACCCTAAACCCTAAACCTTTTTACACAGGCTTGATTGGAGCTCGCCCGGCCTAAACCTAAACCCTAAACCCTAGCTGCCCTCGGGTTTCTTCTCACTCTCCTCGGGCTGGCTCTGACCCAGGAGGTCGCACCCTGCAGCTGGGAGCCATGACGTCTTACCCAACAGGGTCCAAGTATCAATTTTAAGTTTAGGGTTTAGGGTTTAGGGTTTAGGTTTTAGGGTTTAGGTAGCTACTTTGTAAGTATTTGGGCCCCGAAAGTATATACTTATGCTATAGCTTGGGCCCTTTGGGTTACAGCTTCTTGCAGAGTTCAGGGTCGCCCGCCTCCCTGGTTCCGGTGCGGAGCCAGCAACTCCTGCCAGAGAGCAAGGAACTGCGCATCTGTGCAGGAGCCAGGTTTCAAGCTCTACCCTAGAAAACCACGACTACCTATAGTCTCCAGTGTAGTTCCTTTTTGGGGATACCTGATCAAATCATTAGTATATAATTGGTGAAGCCAAAAAAGGAACTACAATGGAGACTATAGGTAAGCAACCAATAGTCGTCACGGCGACAGGAAGCAGAGTACCGATCTGGCATGAAGGATTTACGGGGCTCTTACCCAGACCCCCGGGAGGATCCAAAAAGTAGATCCCTTAAGGGGGGTTCCTATAAAGACCCTTTAGTAGTATAGGGTCCCAAATTAGGGGTTCTACTTTCTAGATCCTTCCGGGGGTCTGGGTAAACGACACGCCACAAAAGAGGAATTGGGGGACCCTGCCTCGGTAAGCTCGAAGGAGTAGCCGTTCACAAGCCCAGCGAGGCCCATGGTGATGCACACCACGGTGCCGCTCCACACCTGCGCTGAAAGATCTTTACAGGTTCAGATCTTTCGACTCGCACACTCCACGGATTCAGGCGTAGCTTCAGATCTTTCGACACGCACACTCGCATAAGCTGGCACTGCGAAGGTCTGCTCAACTAGCTTCTGCCATACACTACGAGAGTAAGTCGGTCATTCATCTCCGTCCGGACCAGGTGCGACTTCGAGGCCAGTGCCTTTCTCTTGACTCTCCTCGATAGCTGGTGGTTGGCCATTGCGTCCCCGAGGCTTCAGGTTTAGGCCAGCCTTCTCCCGTGCGCGGAGATTCCTGTGGAACTCCCTGGTTGCCTCGACCTTGTTCTTGAAACGTTCATGGCGACAGGTCCTCGCCTGCGCCACGCCCTGCGCGCAATCCAATCTTGGTGCTCGCGTGCCTGCGCGGCCTCCCGCGCCGCCCCATGCAAGGCCCAGGGGGTTGTCGAGCAAGCACCTCAGGTCCGCCTCAGCTTTGAGCTCCAGCTGCCGTGCCTCCGCTGCTGCCGGATCTGAATCGCCGGATCGGAGCTTGAGCTGCTCTCAGCCAACTCCGAAGTTGGCCCGGCCGCAGCTCCTGCTGTGACCCTGGTCGGCGCCGTGGTGCCACGACCGAGAATATGCCACGGCTCCTCACTCCACAAGCAGTGCTCTGCTGTCCATTGCGGCTGAAGTCAACCAGTTGCATCGGCCTCCCCAATAGGAAGCACAGAACTCATCCCAAGAGCTCATTCCAGAAGGCAGCGCGTCGTCTTCTATGCGTAACGTGGCAAGGGTTGTGAAAAAGGCATGCTTGTCTAAGTCAAGCGCTTGGGCCCCAGAAATTCGCTTGATACTCACGCTCGGACAAAGACAGGCAGGGTCTGCAGACGATCCTTCGCGCAACAAAACAAGAACTGGAGGTCGGTAGGACCTTGGGATTTTGGTTTTAGGGCTCAGGCTCTCTTTTCCCAGAATTCAGGGTTAGTTCGGGCTTAGGGTTTAGGGCTCAGGATCGTGCTGACTTGCCTGGCCTGCAGATAGTCGAAGAGGCCCATGAGGACATTGTTCACACCAGGTCCAGATCGCCCAATCAGCACGAGGCCGATGCCTCGAAAGGCACATCTGCATCCATAGGTACAGGTACATATCACGAAGGATCAAGTAGACAAACACCTGGACGAATCAAACTAGACGTGGGTTTGGCTGCGGTTTGGGTATCGTACACATACATATACAGATAACATATACATATACATCGACATAGACCTAGACATTATCGTATCGTATAGGCCCAGTGTGGCATAATTAGTTAAGCATAAGCATAAACATGTGCGAAAGCATCTGCAGATGCATACATTACTTGTCTTTGTATTATACATTCCTGGGAGTTCCGAGTGAGCGCCCAGCGCTGGTGAAATCGACGCAGGTCGAATTTGTCCAGCCTTGGTCAAGCATTCGCAAAGAACCCCTGACCCAAGGTGAAGTAAAGCGGAACAGGGATGCGGGCTCCGCCATACAAACGTCATTTTGTCACTGTCCACCCCACACTCCCCCTGCCCCCTAGACCCTTTTGCATCCGGGCCATGTCTGTATTCCCTCCACAACATCAAGCCAAATCAACAAAAGCGGAGTCCCCGTGACTTCCCTGTGAACACGACGCCTTTCCCTCTCACTTGCTCCTGACTGACCCTAAACCCTAAACCCTAAACCCTAAACCCTAAACCCTAAACCCTAAACCCTAACCCTAAACCTAAACTCTAAGCCCCCCAGACCCTGACGGAAGCCGAGGCCCCTGCAGGGGAGAAATGGGTTCTTGCGGCTTGGGCGACACCGGATTGGCCTGAAGCAGGGCCACGCAACAGGGGGCCTGATTTCGGGTTTGGGGTTCTGGGTTTTCCCTCTCACAATATATATATATATATAT